TCTTTTCTAACTAACACTTTATTGATAGATAATGCACCAGATCCACTCTGTCTTGTCAAATAAAGTGTAATGACGCCAGTTGGACTGATATGAGTAGAGACCATCGTGATTGAAGTCATTCTTGTCAGTCCTGACTCAATGGTTAGGGTCTCGCTTAACACTTCACTTCAATCGTTACTGTTTTTAATTCTTTTGACACAGTTGGATGAGTAGTATAGTAGTAGTAGTAAGTTGAGTATATGTAAAGGATGAAGTCGGTGTATTAAAATGAACGTTTTTTACGATTAACTGTTGTTTTTAAATCAATAAGACTCTTCTTATTCTTCAATTATTATCTTTTATGTCGATATTTTATTGCTACTTAAATAAAATCAGAAGTTGTTCGATCTGGCATAGCTTCGTTGAATTTATTTTTTAGTGCTGTTTTACAACTATAAATCTAAATATATTTTATTCACTTTGGCAGAAGTAGGTAATCTAGATGAATGATTTTATTTCAAATGATCCGATTGGGTTGAAATGCTGTATAGCAAAATGGTCCTTAATTTATAAGGTATAACAAGTTCAATTTGATTAATCGTTAATATATGACTACTCCTATTCCAGAAAAAAAAAAAAGTACATTCCTGTCTCAATAACTTGCACGTTGGGAGCAGCTCGCTTATACCAAATGAAGAAGGGTAGTTTTTAAATTAATATGAATTCAGAATCATTCAAAACGTTTTACCTATCCCAGTTTAATTATTAATTAGATCTTCAAAACTGACATTTAGGTATTTTTCTTAATTCCCAGTATATATCGCAATACTTTCCTTACCTAGTATAGATAGGAAAGTGATAAATTAAAACATGTGTGGAAAATATAATAAGCGGTATCATCGATATTACTGGTTCGATACTGATGTTTTTTTTTTTTTTTATTGTGTTGGTAATTTAAATACCTTTCAAAAGTTTTATTATAAATTTAACCAAAGACTATATATTTTGTGAGTTAGGCCCCAAAACATTTTTCTTTTCTTTATGACTTTTTTACCTGAATTTAGTCCATGTACGAAAATTGAAAGGACAATTATTAGAACATCATAGGGAAGTTTCATCAAGAGCCGTTTTAGTGCTAGAATGTATAGAAAAACATGTTTTTCATTTATTGCTCATGGAGCACCCAATTTGTGTTACAGGCATCATTAGTCAAAATCCTACAAAATAAAAAAAGAAGCAACAAAATCGGTCCACTAATTCCCGAGAAAACTTGGCAGAGAGACAGACCAACGGCTAAAAATGTGTTTTTCGGACTCAGGGGGCTCTGAAACGTATCCATCCGTCGCATAGCGGAAATTTGATACGATCGCAATACTTTCCTTACCTAGTATAAATAGGAAATTAAAAAAAAAAACATATAGCCCAGTCAAAATCATCAAATCAAAAATACCTTTGTTATTTCATAGAAATAGTATCGGATTCATATTTTTGTGAATTCGACTTTAGTAGAAACAGTTTTCAGAGGTGTCGTCAGCATTTACTGTAACGTCACATTCTTTTCATCTTTAGCCATTGTCTTCGGAGCTCATCATATTTCTCTGAACCACTAGATCTTGTACTATAAATAAATTTTTTACTGGAATTAAAATATTTATTTTGAAGCACGAAAATTATTCATTATATATGTGTTTCTTTTAATTTCTTGTTATAATGTTTACCATTACAAGGCGGGCAAAGGCACTTCTTCCGGAGTGACTAATCCAACCAAGAAATTTGGCTAGAATTTACAACTTGCCACTTTTCATTTCATTACCTTTGCTGGACAAGCGATTACTTTCATATTGTTTCTTGAATAAGTCAAGTAAATACGTGATAATTAACCGTACAATCGTTAGAAGTAGATTATTAACTGACCCTTATATTATAATTACTTCGGAATAATCCTCATGTGGGGGACAAAGCTTGGTTCGGGGGAAATGTAAATATTGTACATAGCTATGAATGGGTTTAAGAAGATTTATTTTAGTGCTTAATATTTATCATCCCTTTATTTTATTTAGAGATATGTAAGTGGCCGACTGATCAAGTGTATGGATGAAACAAAATTGTCATGAATTTCATTAAAAATTTCTTTAATGGGTTAGCCGGATTCCCGATAATTTTGTTTCATCTTTATTTTATTTTTTCAATTCTCCGCTTTATGCCGAATAAATTCACTGGCCCGGACCGAGGTCAAGGATACAGTTTATTGAATATTTAATTTGAATTACGAACAACGCTGGCGGTTCCCAGCATTACCGCTTTCTGGATTTATTTTATTTTATTAAGATTTATTTATCATTATCATTGTTATTTATTATTATTATCGTACTAGTGTTTAAGGTGTAATTTCATTTTAGTTTTTCATTAATTAATGTCATTAAAATTCTTCATTTAATTTCATTAATTAATAAATAAATGAGAGTACAGTGAGTGATCTTCATCATCAAATTTTATACAATACGACGCAAAATGGACCAGAACGCCTTAACACCATCTGCCATAAATCCGAAAATTGGTTTCCTTTTAAATAGTTGTTATTGAAGTATGAACGTTGGAGGAGTTGACGGATCCAATTCAGAACTTTACTTGCACATTTAATTATTTTAGGCTGCACCATATCGTTCCGAAGTCAGCTACCTGACACTCTTTTTATGCTACAGTCCTCTAGCATTGAGTTTTTGTGATTTTTTTAAACAAAATTAATACGGATAATACTTTATTATGTAATTAATTATATCTAAATATTATCATAGTTGGACGGCCAGCTCAGAGGTTTTCTGTCTGTGCGGAGAGAACAAATGGGAAGAAGTCTGGAGTTATGGACAATTGCCACAAATATATAAATATAAAATTGATATAAAGTGCCACTTTATATCAACGCTGAAACACATTTTTACAATTTTCTCAAAAACGACTCTAACGATTTTGATTAAACTCGGTGTATCATTGTATAATTAAGTGGTCTTTAATATTATTTAGGTCTTATCCCCGTTAATGCTACTTTGCAGGGCTTAAATGCCCAATGTTGATTTGCGTCTTCCTCTAAAGTACTTTTGATATGGTTTATTTTAAATAATCAACTATCTTTCATTATTAAAATTTACGAAAAAATGCTAAATATAACTTTTGAAAGAATTTAATAATTGAACAAAGGAGAAAAAAAAAATAAAAATGCTTATACAGGTCGAATATGAATCTCCGGAAATACAAGTCAGAAGGTATACTTTTAATATATCGTTGGAAAGCGGAGAATTTTAGAAAAAAACATTATCTAATATAGAAAGTTGTAGAAGGTAACGAAGACTGGTGACAAAAATATAAATAATAACATGTTTTCAAGGAAATAAAATGAAATTTTGTTACTAAATGTAAACTTTTAATTTTTTTTTAAATGTTGAAAAAGTATTTAAAACCCACGGATCTAAAGTAATGACATTGTTTAAGATTCTTTTTCATTGTACTAGTGTGAAAGAAAAAGTGAAATATAAAAATATTTCATGGATACGTTTATTACCTTAAATATATTTACTGTAGTATAATAACTCTAGATCGGACATTATTTTTAAATAATTAGGTATCTATCGTCCGTTTATTCCGAAAAATCATTATGTAACCTTTTAGAAAATTAAGTCAACTCACATTAGTTTCTCCCTGAGAAAGATCTCGTGTCCTGCTGTGACAATAGACAATAAACCAGTTCCCTCAAAAACACATGTACGGTATCTTAGACTATACTTGGACAAAAAACTCACCTGGAGCATTCACACTAAATTAAAAAAACAAGAACTGACCAGACAATACAAACAACTGTCACATCTTTTGGACTACAGATCTCCACTCAACTTATAAAACAAGCGACTAATCTACGCCATTATACTAAGACCTATTTGGACATATGGAGCAGAACTTTGGAGTTCCGCAAAACACACACACATAAACAAAATTCAAACCACACAATCCAAAATACTTCGTAAAATCGTCAATGCTCCTTGGTTTATTTCAAATCACACCATACACACAGACATGAACATACCAAAAGTAAAATCCTACATACACAACAAGTACACAACATTTCATTCTTCTACTCTCAACCATCGAAATCCACTCGTTCTATCTCTATCTTCCTCCTTATTACCTGGAGAGCCTCAAAGACGACTAAAAAGGCAGTGGCCTAGAGATCTTCTGCTGAAAAGTTATAAAAATATCAAGAATTGAAGAAGACAGAATAAACTTCAACACATTTACTTGATGCGCTGCAACGCAGTGGCAAATTTAATGAAAAATAAATAAATAAAAAAAATAATAAATAAAATTAGTGAATAATTTGATAAATTTTTTCTTTACGATATTCCAACAGAATCCGCTTACAATTAATGTGACAACTTTTGAGCTGTCTATGACAGACATTGCAAATCTCTTAATTCCGTTTTAATAAATTTTGTAATGGAAAATAACGGTTTAATAACTAATAGCCGTACAATCCATAATCAACCGGTGATGTAATAAATAGGACTTTATTTTAATAGTATTTATGATTTGTTATCTGCAATATTTTAGCTTTAGCTCAGTTAAAAATATTATAATAGCCCAACATGGCCAGAAAATAATTTCTATTCAAAGTTGAGCGGTAAGTGGAAGTTGTGTGTTGCGCGCACCAGACTTTTTATATACCATTTTTATTTAATTTTTTTTTAATTATATATTTTTACTTCTCTTTTTTATATATTGTTTGAATGGACACTTTTAGTTCTAGTCTCTACATTTACAGACTATAAATTTATCGATATAATGGGTTAAAAAAAAATTGTTTCCATCTTTCTGTAAGTTCTTTCTTCTCCCTCGGTATTATTATTATTTTCTCTGTGTGCTTAAAGATGATAATGGAAGAGCGATTTATTCGGTGAGTGGTTCTAAGCCGGGCAGGGTAGGTACCCCCACCTCTATTGCTCCGCGGCGTGCTCCAGTCTGCCCCTGACGTTCGGATGTGCCACTGCTCCGCCGGTAGTCTCCCTCCACTTGTGGTTTCCCTCTTCTTCGGTGTCTTCTTCGCTTCGTCTTCTTCTTCTCCTCTTCCTCCTTTTCTTTCGTCCCTCCGTCCATGGTGCGGTAGGATTGTGTTCACGGTTCTCCAAGACTTCGAGCAGACATGGGTACGACGACTTCCACCCACGAACCACTTGACAGGACGACTCCTACACCGTTCAAGAGGCATGCATCCTGTAGAGGAACTAAGGTAAGGAATTGAGAATCTGGAATTATAATTATCAATTTTTCAGATAAAGGTATTTCTGTGATACGACCATTTTTGGATTGGAATTGAATTATAAACATTTAGGACTTTTCTGTTAAATTCTATATCCTTGACGCATTTATATCATAAGAATATTATATATTTTTCGTTATTTGAAATATAAACAGCTCGCAACCGTTTCTATGACAACTGCATCCAGGAAGTTGAACGTTGGTTAAGATAGCCAGAGGAACCTCTCAAACTCGATTCTTATTCTTTTGATTTCATATAATGAAATTAAGATATTAACTTATAAATATTATTAATCAATTTAATTTTTAATTATATTATGTTTTTATGAATTGGCTTACACGTATAATAAATAATATATATATTATTCTGAAATAATGATATAAATGCGATATTTTCATTTTTAAGACTTCATTATGATTAAGAAGCCTTCTCCTATTATCATCACGATTCCGTTCGTGACCTTGTTATGCAACGGACTTGTTTCAAGTTTTCTCTCTTTCGAGCCCTGGCACTTCCGTAATCGGACGGACTACCTGATACCGACTTAATGAATCGAGCGGCGATGCGGGCTCACTGACTCGTGAATTGTTCGTCGGTTAGAACAATCGGGCTCGGGCCTGTGGGAACCGAACAGAAAGAAAATACGTTATGTTGCAACCCCCCTCCAACATTCCCCTCCGAGCGACCGCCATCTTACCTGGCCTTTTACCTGTCTGCCCTACCTTGTGTGTGGAGAGTTGACTTGGAAAAGTCGTGGCATTAATATATTGGATTTCGAAAACATTTGAATTGTTACGTTTAAGAATAAATTATATCTGAAGTACTTGTTGAACTCTCCCCTCAAAAAAAAAAAAAAAAAAAAAAAAAAATCCAAGCAGAACTAGAACCAAAAATTATATGTATATAATTAAAAAAATATTCCTTTCTTAAAAACCATTTCTCATTATAATTCATATTCCCTAAAACAAAGGTCCTTGAGGATTAACTGAAAATTCCACGTTGGTTTGTTGAAGGTATTAAAATTTAAGCTCTAAATACAACCTACAAATAACAATAATAACATAATTCTACCGTTATTAATTAACGTATACTATATAATCCATAGTAAATATATTAATTACAACCATTTTTCGATAACTGAGTATGTAATTAAGAATATTTTCAACCTCAAAAATATGAAGAAAAAAAAATCTTTATACTATTAATTTTAAAGTTATTAGTATACTTCACGAACTTCTCTTTTGTCTTAAATGTCAGTGTCATCAATATCGTACTTTATTTTATACTTTATATTTATTTTATAACACGTATATTTTTATAATTATAAAAATTGAAATGTGTACTAAATAATTAAAATGAATGGGAATTTAAGTGAATTTTAAACAAAACGTAAGAAGTAATAATTTTCATATACATTTATTTCGATAGTAATTAGAATAATAAAATTATGAATTTATTAGATATTTGTCTACATGACAACCGAAAAAATTCATGACGAATATGGGCTACTAAGAATGAAACATCATAGATTGTTAAAAAATATGTATTTGAATTAAAGTAAACAAAAAAAAATGTTTATATACTTTTCTTAAAATTAAATACCATTTAGGAAAACAAATTTCCTAATAAAATACAGGACAAAAATCATTGAAATAATAAAAGAATAATTCTGATTTTCAATTTTCCACACTTTACTTTAAATTACTTTAGCGATATTCAGTCATAATATTTTCATCTGAGACCATTTATTAACATTATTCCTATATTTATGTTAATATAACCAGCATGTCTATTCCACATTAATAAATTCTCAGGTTTTTAGAAAATAAATAATTGAAATGTTTTTTTTTTAATATTTTATTTTATTTATTTTCTTAATGTACAATAATTTTACTTAACTCCGTATTATATCTGGTAGAAATTAATCTTAGTTAATAGAAAATAATTGCAATTTTTTTTTTTTAACACATAAAATCTTTATTTTTCCTAGTTTATTGTTCGTCCTATCCCCTAATTTTAAGTTATTGATTAAGTAATAAATTTCCAAACATCTTGAATAAGAATAATTCAACTGCAGTTTATCAATAATCGTACTAATGATTACAACTGAAGCATTCACTTTTTCCGGAAGGACTTTTATATCCGCTGATAAGAAACGATAGGAAACAGTTATAGGTATATTATTTGTTGGAATTTGTCCTAATAGAAGGAAATGGCCGGTGCCAACGTATGCATTCGCTAATTATTTAAGAAACCGGTTTTGGGCCGACTTTAATTTTGGGCCGGACTTGTTAAGATGCGAAGAGTGTTCCCATTATCATAATCTATCGATTACTTGCTGCATAATTTTTTCCCCAATCTCTTTCGCTGTCTGGAATTTAGGATAGTCTTCCATATTGATAATTTATTTAGAAAATATTCTACTACTGCCTATATCCAAAGCTGGTCAAGATTACCAATATTTAGTAATAGATTATTATTTATCAATATTGTCAATAGATTTATTTGTTAACTGATAGGATTTAAAGTCTTCTTTTCATGCGTTAATCTAAGGAGTGAGAAGTCCCGACCTTGTAGTGGAGGCCAACGGGCTTATTATATCAACCCAAGTCTTATTTAAAAGCGATTAGTGAAATACCTTCAGCCTTTATTTTAAATAATTTAATAAAATAATTTTAAAGATTGTTTTAGTCAGTTGAAACTTTCTGAAATACTCAGTTTAATAGGATGACGGTGAGATTACAAAAAAAAAATGTATAAGCTGATATTAACTGTGTGGCACAATTCATACTTTTTTTTTCATTTATTGCATATTATATAGTATATTTTATGAGTTTCTACTAAAAATAAAAATAATAGAATAAAAATCCGACCTCTGCTTATAACCTTGAGCTACTGATAATTCCATATGATCCAGCAAGGAGCCCAATATGCAAATGGTCCAATATTTTCAAAATGTATTCTTTAACCATTTCAAATTGGGGTACATTTCTACTATTTATTTTTTCAATTGCAGGAAACATATTTTTTTAGCCATAAAATATTCGAAATACCTAGTTTGTGTTTTCAGAGTACGCCGCAATGAGATTTGTGATGTGTTTTTAATATTTTCATTAAAGTATGTACTTATCACTCTTTGCCACACAGTTATTTGAACTTTTTCTGTATTAAACGTCATTATTGATATTTTTTATTTTATATGTGTAGAGTGTGAGTGTGCTCTCGGAACACTATTATAAATGTCCTTAATTGTGACAGAATGTAACATTTCTGAATAAACAAATAATAAAAAAAAATTTATATATTTTGGGTGAAAAAGGAAATTTTTTTAAAGATTAATTCTTATTAAGGAAACTTATAGTTGTATTTATATTAATAATTATATTCATGTTCGCTCCGTTATTAGCGTACAAGTAACTATGGCAGAAGTAATTTAATAGCTGAGAATGTAGTATATTAATATTGTATCCAAACTATTTCATACAGACTCTACGCTAATAACTAAACTTTGACTAAAGCTCTCGTTTGACTCTTGTTGAGTTCATCGACCCCCTCGCTCGATACTTTCGCGACCACTATCGCAGTGGATATCGATACATCGAGGTCAATGTATCACAGATTATCGATATTTTTCTGGTTCCATAATCTGTATTTGCATTTTATTACTAGGACTGAATCCAGTCACGCCATTTTCTTATTAGGCTCCTTGGATTGTCTGATATTATCAGTAGGTCAAGGTTGTAAGCAGAGTCCGGATTTTTTTTTCCAATGGAAACACAAAATATGCCCTATAATGTGTATTAAAAATTACAGCAATATGCCAACGCTACGTCTCTGCTAAAACAAAAGAAAAAAGGAGGTTAAAAGAAATCAATTTATTTTATAAAAAACAATAATTAAAATACGTGGAAAACTAAAAATGTACATCTAATAATTAACAAAACATCATAGGAAATGCTTTTTAAATGACAAAAATATCAAGATAATACAAAATTCCAATTAGTAACACATAAAACCAACAATAAAGTTAGTTGTTAGTAGTTATAGCTTCATACAAATGATTTGTAACAATGTTTGATAAATGAAAATATTTTAAATTAAAAATACGCAAATGAATGTGAAAATATTGATAACGCCAATCAACATAATGTGAGATAAATAATAAAAAAAAATTAAATAATATGAATTACAAATGCTAGTAAAAGAGAATTAGTAATGCTTTTAACTGTAAATTTAATTTAGGTACAAATTCTTTAGTTATTTTTTTTTTAATTTTTAGGATTATAAATGGTCAGGATTTGTTTTATTCAACTCAGCAATGTTACCAATGCTGTATTTTAAATCATTATTGTTTCTAATTATTATCATTTTGTTATGATAAAATAATAAAAAATTTTACTCATTGCATCTGGGTACTCATATCTGACTCTTAAGTATATTTGATCACCAGTTTAAAAACTGCAAACAAACAATTCAGTTGCATAATTCGAAATACAGGGAGAATTCGAAGCCAGGCTTAAACGCTTAATGAATTGCACAATATGTTTTGTTTTCGAAATCTCAAGAGACATGCTTATAATCCAGTATTATTACACCGAGATGAAGAGGTTCTATCCATTCAACCACCGTCTGTACTTCTATACCACGTTATCAGAACTCAGCGACCCTCCTATATTTATCGTAGCCTACAATTCGAATATTCTATTCGATCTCGTCCTATTAGATCCCAAACTTCCAACCTCTATGCTCCTTCTCACCGAACTGCAGTGTTTGACAAATACCAATCCTTTGTACTCCAAGCTGTGTCCCTCTGGAACTCTATCCTTCCTGATATAAGACATGTATAATCATTTTCCTCTTTCAAGTCTCTCCTCCTTTCCAAATCAGACTGTTCATGAGATGTGCTTAAGAGAATTCTTCAAGTTATTCTAGTTTCCGATGTCCGTTTTATACATATGTATGTTGTTGTT